AATTGACATTTACCACTAAAAAACAAATCCTCCAAGCCTGTGAATGTACTAAGCGAACGTACTAAGTGAACGCTTGTTCAGTAAGAGGTTTGGCAACTGGGCCTAGAATCCACCACAAAGAAATCGGTGCATTAGCTTAGAATAAGGGCGGTTATTGGTTATAAGGCTGGTCTCATACTGACAGTTGGTCTGACATAAATACATGCAGGCTTGGAATAATTTGATGGCAGTAAACGTCAATTTCACCATATCCCACCCCCCCGGAACAAAACATTTCCATCAGTAATCATGGAAAATAACAGCTACGGTTTGATTGACGTCTAGGAGGTGGTGGAGTCTCCTTCCTTGGAGGTTTTTAAGGCCCGGTTTGACAAAGCCCTGGCTGGGATGATTTAGTTGGGAATTGGTCCTGCTTTGAGCAGGGGGTTGGACTAGATACCTCCTGAGGTCCCTTCCAACTCTGATATTCTATGATTCTATGATTCTATTTACTTCGTAGATTTCAACACGTGATGTTGCCGGTTGGTGTTTAAGCGAGATGAGACGGGGGAGGTGAGATCTTTTACTGGCCCCACCTCTGTCGGTGGAAGGGACGAGGTGTCACGCTTCACCGTGGCCTCAGAACTTTCCCATTGAAAATGGAAACTTCCCAACGTGGCAAAGGAAGGAGCCAAACAGAACAGCCACATCGACTTCCTGAACAATCTGAGAAACAAGCCGTGAGAGTCTGTCTCACCTGGACCTGGAGTCTCCTGGTTCCCTTCTCCAGACTGATGGAGACGCTCCAAAGTGGGGCCCTTCCACCAGCACTAGTTGGTTTGATAAAATAGATTCTGTCACCACCTTGTCTCTCTCCCAGCCCGGGGCCACGCGGCTACAAGGAGACAGTCATCGCTTTGTGTTTTAGTTCTAAAGCTTTATAGTGTGAGTCCAGCAGAGCCGCGCTGTGTCTGCGTCGCGCTGAAGCCTGGAATGTCTATTGAGTCAATGGGAAGTGACAGAAACAGCCCTTCCGCGGGAGTGAAGCCCCAGGGGAGTTAGGCACTGAAATCCCTTCCTGGAGCTGGGCCTTAGTGCCTCCCTCTGCCCTCCGATCCCTGCGCCACCCCCTTGAATGCCCCATTTACGGGGCCACCTCTAAGAATCCAGATCCAGCAAACCTCTGAATTTGGAGCCTAATTCCCAGATTCTCAGCTCAGCCGGGGGCGGGGAGATCACCCAGCCTGGCCTTGTGTGTCGCCCAGGCCGTGGGGCTGCCCTGAATTCATCACTGGCTGAACTAGAGCCGCCCTTTGAGCAAAACCTCCTATCTCGACGGCAGAATTGCCACCAATGGAGAACAGGGTTTCCACCTTTCCAATGGCTGGTAACTGGACCCTCAAAGCCCCACCCCTGCTCTGCCTCTTCCCTCGAGGGCCCGCCCTGTGCTCCGCCTCTTCCCTCAGGGCCCCGCCCCCTTCTCAGCCTCTGCCCACAGGCCTCATCCCTGCTCCACCTCTTCCCCCCAAAGCCCTGCCCCTGCGCTGTCTCTCCCCCCAAAGCCCGGACCCTGCTCCGCCTCTTCCCTCAAGGCCCCACCCCTGCTCCGCCTCTTCCCTCAAGGCCTCTCCCCTGCTCCGCCTCTTCCCCCCCAGATAAAAAAAAAACAATCATCAGGGTTGTCACATGGCACCCGGACACACAAGCCGAAACCCAGACTGTCTGGGTGAAAACCGGATGAGTGGCCTCCCTGATGGAGAACCCGCCCCAGCCCTGGGTAAATTGTTCCCAGGGTTAATTCCCCTCCCTGGTATAAATTCCCACCTTATTTCCAGTCTGAATTTGTCGAGCTTCAACTTCCCGCCCGCTGGATCTTGGCCTGCTAGATTGAGGGGCTGCTCTCACCAGATTTCTGTCCCCGGGGGATATTTCTCGACGGGATTGAGCACCTGGAGTCTGACTCAGGCCTGTCTTCCCATCCTTGAGTCATTCTCCTGGCTCTTCTCTGACCCCTCCCCAAGTGATCTCTGTGCATCTGGAACTGGGGGGCCGCGCAGCTGGATGCAGGATTCCACCGGAGGTGGCCCCTGAATGCAGGGGGTCGGTTATGGCCCAGGCAGGGCTGGCTCTGGCTTTTTTGCCGCCCCAGGCAAAAAAGTCTCCCGCCTCCCCCCGCCCCCAGCACAGCAGGGGAGGGCGCCGCGCCCGGCCGGGGGCCGCTCTCCCTGACCGGCCGGAGTGCCGGGGGGAGGGCAGCGAGCCCACTGCGGCTCCGCTGGTGGCCGGAGCCCCGGGAGGAGGGCGGAGAGCCCAGCCGGGGTTCCGCTCTCCCCGGCGGCCAGAGCGCTGAGGGGAGGGCGGCGAGCCCGGCCGGGGCTCTGCTCTCCCCGGTGGCGAGCCT